CTCCATGCTAGATCAGCGTAGCCTTGACGAGCCAAAGTGCATCGTCACAGATGGCCTCGTCTATGATGGTTTGAATTGAAGGCCGTTAGAAATGAGGTTGTGGGCCAAGGCTCGTCATAGGTAAGGGGTTATCTATGGCAGTCCTAAATGTGTACTCGACAAAGTTAATCTCTGCCGAGTGCACATGCTGGCTCGTCACGGGTGACTAATTGTCATCTTCGACGGATTTAACAACTTACTCATCAAAGATGACAATATATTGTTATCCAATTCTTCTTTCCAGTTTTTAACATGATAGGTCGTTGTTCTTCTTCAAAAATGTATGGGCTTTACGTGTATAACTTTGGATAAGTTCGTGACTTCAAAAGTAAAAAAAAAAACATATGAGGAACATATGTGCATTGTGAATATGTAATTTTGTTGGGATTTTTGAATATATGTGTATGTATGAAATTTTGTAGTAAGTGTTGTCTATTGGCTAGGAGTTATTAGGGAGAGACTAGGTCTGGGAACACAAGTGCCATTTCACATAGGGCATGGCTAACAATATCGGAGTCTAGACAAATTTTTTTTCTAAAGAAAACTCATCACTGACGAGTGCTAATGAAAGCCCATCAATGAAGAGAATACCTGTGACGTGTGCCAGGTTAAATCACCTGTGATGGGTCTGAAAAGTGCCACTCGAGTGATAACACCACCTAATCATGGTGGTCAGCCTCGCCTATGATGGACAATTGTATGTGGCATGTTAGAGGTGTTTGATCATCACTAATGGCCTCCACCCATATATAAGAGATGAGGTGGAATCATGACTGATCACTAATACTCCCTCCGTTTTAAAATGTTTGACACTGTTGACTTTTTAATACGTGTTTGACCATTTGAATTATTTAAAAAATTTAAGTAATTATTTATTCTTTTAATATCATTTGATTCCTTGTTAAATATGTTTTAATGTACACATATAGTTTTACATATTTTATAAATTTTTTTAAATAAGACGAACGGTCAAACATGTGCTAAAAAGTCAACGGTGTCAAATATTTTGAAACGGAGGGAGTATAATCTCTGATGAGAACCAAAGCCAACAAAGATGGCGGTATAGATGGCACCATCAGTGATGACCTGATCCGGGAGTATACAAATATATTTGTGGACGACATGATCCGGGAGTGATGACTTGATCCGGACGACATGATATATTTGTGGGTGTAGGGTCTGTTTGGTGGAGCTATGTACCCATAATTTCACCACTAGCTAGTATTCATTTTTACCACAAGAAAAGGAAATCACACCAAGTTAAATGGATCTCGCACTGTTCTTGACTCTAGTTTGGCTTATACTAGCTAGCTAGTCGATCTACACCCTGGCGGCCAGGGCAGTCAACGTCAAACGACACAAGCATGGGATGGTCAAGAAAAAAAAGCTTAGTACATCTGGTGACTTCATCCAAATTAACACTTGTTACCTCTCCCCTAACTTTTGCTTGTGTCGCCACAGTTGTATATATAGCTTGTTAATTAGATCACGCCCATGTGTGATATCCATAGCTGGATTCACCAAATGCGACCGGTTAGGTGAAGTTGATCGCCAGTTTGGCTTGATATAGTTGCCAAGTTATAATTAAGATTACTGAGAACCGGTTGGGAGCTAAGTTGGCATCACTAATTATTTATTTAGATATGGCTTTGGATATGATATCTGTCTGAAACCTAGTTAGAGCTAGCTTAGCATATATGAATGCAGGATCAAGGAGATCAGTTAGTAGGATTGTCTCGTTGAAGAAAACGGCCAAGAGACAAGGGAAACAACACGAGGCTGGATCCTGTTGCCCATTCTTTCTCCGCAATTGGCTTGCACACCTTTGAATTAGAATTGACGGCTATTTTGAATTTTGATTTACTTTAGAACATATTTTGTTAGATTTTTACAGGTCTTCTTAGTGATCATGAAAAGATAGCCGGTCAACAAAAGTAACAAAGAAATTAAATCCCCTAACACTAATCCCAAAATTAAAGTTTAAAATTTCAAATTAGTTCGGAATTACTATATAAGGCCTCCTTTATATCAAGGGAAAAAAAATAAGAATTCAGTAGGATTTCAATCATTTAAGATTTTTTTTCTATACGGCCCTTTAAAACAAGAATTAAAAACTATTAAACCATATCAAATTTCCAAAGAGTGCTGCAATCCATGAGACCCAGCTTCGTGTTGTTTATTCATAGTTAATTTTAAAGAAATTTTACTATGAGACCCAACGTTAAGAAAAAAAATTCTTTAAGTCTGACTCATCCAATTTTATATGTGTTTTTCATGTAATCTAATCGAACATTTCCTTTTTTTTCTCCGTATTTTATAATTACATATCTATCAAAATAAAATATTTAACATATTTCTCCGTTTTTTCTTAAACCTGCTTTTCAAATGAGCCTTACAAAATGCTCCCATCATATTGTTGATTAGTTCATCGTGGACAGCGACGTGTGTGCATCGTGCATGTGCGCGTGGCGCACACCCGCGGCGTGATTGGAACGTCCGTATCGTTCCATGAATCCGTGAACTCAAGAGCCTGGTTTTCAGACTGTACGCGCTGCTGCTGTTCGAAGGTGGTTTTCCATGCCTGCTCAAAACCGCAGGCGGTTTCAGAAAACCGGGTACCAACGTCCCAGCCGCTAATTGATCAGGTTCCAGGGTGAGCCTAAATCCTATTGGAACAATTCTGGCCCAATTATCGATTTGTGCAATGTCACTGTGTGTTTTGGGCTTAACGTAGATGGTGTACAAATTGGGCCAGCCCAACAAAAATTCCCCTCACTGTTGATTCTCTCCTGTTCAACAATCCCCATATCTATCTATCTTTCTATCTATATATCTATCGTCTATCTATCTATCTATTATATACTAAAAGTCTATTAAACTTTCTACAAACGCTCTTGAATCGCCATGTGGTACTCCTATAAACGCTTTTATATCGCCACATAGCAGTCTCTAATTTTACCGTTGATTTTTACTTAAATTGGTGGGTCCAATATTCCAGACCATTAGATTAGATCTATTATTAAAAAAAGTAACACCTTCCTCCTGTATTTGTATACATGACAAATGGAGTATATTACTGTTCACCCGCAAGAAAGAAAAAACCGTACGTATGTACGATTGAAGAAAGTTACTAACTACTGTTCACCATAATAAAAAACATAAGCACGTACTTGCGATACTACATGTACCTTTAAAAAAATACGTACGTACACGATAACGATCTAAAAATTTCTACAATTTAAAAGATACAATATATTACTCTACAATTTACGCAGATAAACTAGATCTATAATAAAAATTTAAAATATCCAATTAACACTCTTTAAATGTTCTACCCTTTATTATTTTAAAATTATATATCTAATTTATGATATTATATTTGTTTAACTAAATAAACTATTAATGTCTATGGTACTAACTACATCGCACATGTGAAAATGACATGCAATATCTTTAAATAATTTTACATCATATTTTAGTTTAGGGTGTCAGATATCACAACGAATATACAAAGCTAATTTAAATCTACATATGTAAAAAATAAAAACAACATAATTTAGTTTTCTAAGTATATATGGTTTAATTTTAATTTGTCAAAAAATCATTTTTTTAAAGATTATTTGATTCGTATTTGAGAGGTGAGAGGACAAATGTTACATAGGTGTGAAAAAAGCCTGCGCAGATGCGCGGGTAGCTAAAATAAATCATATGTTATCATATATATTTTAAGAACCATAGAAGAAATATTTATACTGTGAAATAAACCATAGAGTTTGATATACTAAATGACAATGTCTATTATATTCAAACAAAATTCGCATTGTCCCGGTTATATGTGAACTCGCATATCACCATCGTTATTTATTCTATTTATGTTTAACTATTAATCTGTCATGATATTTGTGAAAATATAAAGAATAATATAGTGCTTTGGAGATTATCTTGGTAGTTTGTTTTTTAAAAAAAATGACTTTGTCCTGGTTACATATAAAATCTCACATTGTTTTGGGACAAAATTTGACTCCTCGGATTTATGTGACTAAGGAAGTATAAGCAACATAAGTCTATCTTTAATTAAATAAATTAGTATATTAGCTGGATTTGTAATGGAAAATATATTTCATTAATATACCATAAAATCCATAAAGTCATATAAATATACAAGAAAAACTATTACTAAAATTTGGAAACTGATATGCTAAATATTCCCAAAAAAAAAAGAATCACACATATGAACCAACTCCATAATTATCACACAATTTTTTATCATAAATTTATGGTTGTATGGTTTGAAGTAATTTTAGTACAGAGTTTATATGTTGCAAGAATAATTACAAGAAACTCATAACCAATGTTCAAACCACTTATTAGCCAAAACATGTTTAAAGTAGAGTCAAAGAATATTTTAACAATATCATCATAACATAAACAATCGTAATAAAAATTAAAGCAACATTAAACAAGGTGCCCGCGTATATAGGTGGGCTACCTTCCTAGTTCAAATTAAATGAAGGTGAAATATTTTTGCAGCGATCCAAGTCTCTAATAATTTATGCTTTCTTAGAAGGGTTAATTGGATCCATGTCATTACAAATGTGGCAAATAAAAAAAATGCCACTACTATTTATGAAATCGAGTCAATGCCAGTGTACTCAACGGTGGTTGGGCAGCATGGCGCCGGAGGGGAGCAGCACGGCGGCGGATGGGGAAGGAGCGGCGAGACGACGAGCTCTTCCACCAGAGGAGTGCAGCACGGCGACGGATGGGGAAGGAGCGCCCGCACCCGCCTCCAAGACCGTCCTCGGCGGCAATAGCGGCTGCGTCCGCGCCGTCGTTGGCGGCGGCCATGCCCGCTCCCCGTGACCGTCCTCGCCGGCAGCCGCCACATCCTCGGAGGATGAAGCCTTGCCCTCGCCGTGCCAACGTGAGAGAGGAGGATGATGACGTGAGAGAGAACAACGGAAATAGTAAGGGGTGGCATGGATCCAATTAACCCTTCTTGAAAAATTCCTGAATTAACCACACTCTCTTATACAGTACTGTGCTGTAAGCCTGTACCAGTATATGTTTGCACAAAAATTCGAGCCACTTGGTAACTAAAACGCCGCAGCTCCTGCGAGCATCCTGAGTAACCTGGCGGCGTCGAGCCCGTCATCCACACCCTCAATGTGATCATAGCTGCTCTTGATCATCTCATCCTGTTCTTCATCTTCCTCTTCCTCTTCATCTTCGTCTGCGGCGGCGGCAGGGAAGCAGTGTGCGGGCGCCTGCCACTGGGAATCGTCCTCCAGGGTCACGCCGACCTCGAAGCTCATCACGAATTGCTGTATCCCTGTCTCTGCATGTGATGTGAGCCACCCCAAATGCAGCAATGCATTGTATTAGTTATTAATTAGTTAATTGCGTGTTTCAGAGAATTGTGCAGGTAGAACTATCTGTTGCTGACCAGATTGATTACCAGATAAAGAACCTGCTGAGGCGAGTGGGAACTGGGAAGTGAAGTATATATATATGGGGCTCAAAATGGATGGAGCTTCAGGTCAAGGAGGCTGCGATGCTGAAAACATCGCCGGACCATCGTAGTGCTAAATGCTAATACCTTGTGATAGATGGCTGTAGTGGGTCTTCTAGTCAGGTCGAGTTCTCTAGATAATGTGTTTTGTTCTCCTACGGTTGGATGTTGCCTGTAAGGGTAACAATTTAGAGAAGTTAAGGCTGTTTTTTTTATACCATCTCCTAGACAGGGTAATACCTGAAGAGGGAGAGTGTCTTAGAATAATTGGGCTAGGCCCAATTTATTCTATTAAATCTCAAAGGCCCATAATAAATGTTAAGGATAATAATACCACCTCAGGATTTAAGCGAGAAATATCTCAACCTAAATAGAGAGTTATTAGAGGCTCCCTGTTGACCAGTTGAGGTGGGGGTCGGAATGCCACACGCGCGCGCGCGCCGGGGCGTGGGCGTGGGCGTGGCTAGGCTGGCTGGCGACGTGCGTCACGTCGCTATCCTTTTGCAGCCACTAACCCACGTTCCCACGATTCCCTCCGCAACAGCGCGTCCACGTTCTTTCTCCTGATAGATAAGGAGGCCGCGAGTCCGATCCGTCTTGTTCGCTTCTTTCCCGGTGTTAGTTTCTCCTTCTCCGCGCCTGAGTTGCTCTCGCTTCCCCGCTTCTGATCTCTTGCGCGCACGAGAGATTGGAAGAAGCAGTGCCTCCGAAACCACACCTTTGCCTGAGATCTGCACCGGATAGGCGGGTGATCAGGTTTTTGGGGAGTGCCTAGGCGGGTGATCAGGTTTTTGGGGAGTGCCTCCTGCACGACTGCTCTGCTCATCGCCATGTCTGGAGTTGCTGCCGCCGCTACTGGCGGAGGTGGTACGCCGCCGCCGACAGGAGCTGGTGGTACGCCGCCGCCGACAGGAGCTGGATCCGGAGCTGGTGCGCCAGGAGGAGGTGCCGTGAACGACTACAACAACGGAGGCAATTCTGCCTCACCATCCAGCGGAGGGCCATTCTCGGGATATAATCTTCTCCTCCTCCTGCTACTGCTGTTAGCGCTATTCCTGTTCCCATTGTTAGCGCTATACTGTGTGCGCTATGTTCTTATTCCTGTTCTACATGATGCCTCTAGCATGTTATCGCGTTACTGGTATGTTCCTGTTTCTGACATTCATGATGCGCATAGTATGCTACTGGTTATGTTAAGATCACCCTACACTGCTTATGCCATGATCATTGTTTCATTTTCTTGGATTAAAATATACCGATTAATGACTATATTTCCAACAATCCAAAAACCTGATAGGTCATTTTCGGTAGTTGGCTTTGCTGCTGCACTGAAACCACATGCTTTTGATAGTTCAAACTATAAGAGATGGAAAGCACGTGCACTATTGTGGTTGACAGCGATGCAGTGCTTCTATGTTTCACGGGGCAAACGAACTGAACCACCTCTCTCTCCTGAGGAAGAGGCTAAGTTCGAGGCTTCGGATTGCCTGTTCCGTGGAGCATTGATCAGTGTACTCGCTGACAACATAGTGGACGTGTACATGCACATGCCTTCTGGGAAGGACATGTGGGATGCACTTGAGGCTAAGTTCGGAGTTTCTGACGCTGGCAGTGAGCTGTATGTCATGGAGCAGTTCTATGACTACAAGATGGTCGATGACCGTTCTGTAGTAGAACAAGCTCATGAGATTCAGATGCTGGCTAAGGAACTTGAGAACAACAACTGTGAGTTGCCAGACAAGTTTGTGGCGGGTGGCATTATTGCCAAACTACCACCTTCTTGGTCGGACTTTGCCACTTCTCTAAAGCACAAGAGACAAGAGTTCAGTGTTCCTGATCTCATTGGCTCTTTGGGTGTTGAGGAGAAGGCGAGGGCAAAGGACGTGCGGGGCAAAAAGGTTGAGGGAGGTTCTAGTGCCAATATGGTACAGAAGAAGAACCCTCATGCATCCCACAACAACAAGAAAGTCAAGCCTGATGTCAAACCCAAGGCTGCAACCAATTTTAAGAAGAAAGGCAAGGGAAAGACAAAAGGAGACTGCTTTGTGTGTGGCAAGTCTGGGCATTGGGCCAAGGACTGTCCTGAGCGCAAAGACAGGAAGTCTGCCAACATGATCATTAGCGAGGGCGGAGGAACATCGGGGTACGGTAAAATATTACCTACAGTTCTCTCTGTTTTTCATTCACCTGATTGGTGGGTGGATACTGGTGCTAATATTCATGTATGTGCTGACATTTCTCTATTTTCTTCTTATCAGGTCGGGAGAGGTTCCTCCTTGTTGATGGGAAACGGTTCGCTTGCGGCTATTCATGGTGTTGGTACGGTCAATCTGAAGTTTACTTCGGGAAAGACCGTGCAGCTGAAAAACGTACAGCATGTCCCTTCAATAAAGAAGAATCTAGTTAGCGGCTCTCTATTGTGTAGAGAAGGTTTTAGACTTGTGTTTGAGTCCAATAAATGTGTCGTATCTAAATATGGGACTTTTGTTGGAAAAGGTTATGACAGCGGAGGCTTGTTCCGCTTTTCTTTGAATGACATGTGTAATAATCATAATGCTGTGAACCATATTAGCGAGAATGATGAGTCTAATGTGTGGCATTCGCGACTCTGTCATGTGAATTTCGGTTGCATGACGCGCTTAGCTAACATGAGTTTAATTCCAAAATTCACTTTGGTCAAAGGTTCCAAGTGCCACACTTGTGTTCAATCGAAACAACCTCGCAAGTCTCACAAGGCATCTGAGGCGAGGAATTTGGCACCTCTAGAACTTGTTCATTCCGATTTGTGCGAAATGAACGGCGTGTTGACTAAAGGGGGAAAGAAATATTTCATAACACTGATAGATGATTGCACTAGATTTTGCTATGTGTATCTATTGAAAACAAAGGATGAGGCATTGCATTACATTAAAATCTATAAAGCTGAGGTAGAAAACCAACTTGAAAGGAAAATCAAACGGTTGAGGTCTGATAGAGGTGGGGAGTATTTTTCCAATGAGTTTGCATCCTTTTGCGAAGAGTTTGGAATTATTCATGAGATGACGCCTCCCTATTCACCCCAATCAAATGGGGTGGCCGAAAGAAAGAACCGTACTCTAACTGAGATGGTGAATGCCATGTTAGACACTGCGGGGCTTTCCAAGGAATGGTGGGGTGAGGCAGTTTTGACTGCGTGTCATGTCCTGAATAAAATTCCAATGAAGCATAAGGAAGTAACACCATTCGAGGAATGGGAAAGGAAGAAATTAAATCTCTCATACCTACGAACATGGGGCTGTTTGGCCAAGGTAAATGTACCTATAGCCAAAAAGCGGAAACTTGGACCAAAAACTGTTGATTGTGTGTTTCTTGGTTATGCTATCCACAGTGTGGGTTATAGATTCTTAATAGTAAACTCTGACATGCATGCTGGTACAATTCTTGAGACCAGAGATGCTACATTCTTTGAGAATGAATTTTCTATGAAATATACACCTAGCACTTCTAGTAAAGAAACTGTCATGCCCCATGAGCACTTTGCACCGATAGAACACAATGATCAAACGCCTGAGGAAAATCCTGAGGAGGACAACATTGTAGATACTCGCAGGAGTAAGAGACAAAGGGTTGCAAAATCCTTTGGAGATGACTACATTGTATACCTCGTGGATGACACCCCAAGAACCATAGAAGAGGCATATTCATCTCCTGACGCTGACTACTGGAAGGAAGCAGTACGCAGTGAAATGGACTCGATTATGTCTAATGGTACTTGGGAATTCGTTGAGCGTCCATATGGGTGCAAGCCCGTAGGATGCAAATGGGTTTTCAAGAAAAAGCTTAGGCCTGATGGCACAATCGAAAAGTACAAGGCAAGGCTTGTGGCCAAGGGTTATACCCAAAAGGAAGGCGAGGACTTCTTCGACACATACTCACCAGTTGCTCGCTTGACCACGATTCGAGTACTACTTGCTCTGGCAGCCTCTCATGGTCTTCTCGTCCATCAGATGGACGTTAAGACAGCTTTCCTAAACGGAGAGCTGGAGGAGGAGATCTATATGGATCAACCAGACGGGTATGTACTAGAAGGTCAGGAGGGAATGGTGTGTAAACTATTGAAATCCTTGTATGGCCTCAAGCAAGCACCTAAGCAATGGCATGAGAAGTTTGACACCACGCTTACATCTGCAGGCTTTGTTGTGAACGAAGCTGACAAATGTGTATACTATCGCTATGGTGGGGGAGAAGGGGTGATCTTGTGCTTATATGTCGATGACATACTGATCTTTGGGACCAGTCTTAATGTGATTGAGGAGGTCAAAGACTATCTTTCCAAGAGTTTTGAAATGAAGGATTTGGGAGAGGCTGATGTTATTCTTAACATCAAACTTCAAAGAGGAGATGAGGGTGGGATTACACTTGTGCAATCCCACTATGTGGACAAGGTTTTGAGTCGCTTTGGATATAGTGACTGCAAGCCAGCTCCTACTCCTTATGATCCCAGCGTGCTATTAAGGAAAAACCGAAGAATAGCAAGGGATCAACTGAGATACTCTCAAATCATTGGTTCATTGATGTACTTGGCTAGCGCAACGAGGCCTGACATCTCATTTGCTGTAAGCAAGCTGAGCCGGTTTGTCTCAAATCCGGAAGATGATCATTGGCAGGCTCTGGAAAGAGTAATGCGCTATCTAAAGGGCACTATGAGCTATGGAATTCACTATACCGGGTATCCAAAAGTACTAGAAGGGTATAGTGACTCAAACTGGATATCTGATGCTGATGAGATAAAAGCCACAAGTGGATATGTGTTCACACTTGGAGGTGGCGCTGTTTCCTGGAAGTCTTGCAAGCAGACCATCTTAACGAGGTCAACAATGGAAGCAGAACTTACAGCACTAGATACTGCGACAGTTGAGGCCGAGTGGCTTCGTGAACTCCTGATGGATTTGCCGGTGGTTGAAAAACCAGTGCCAGCTATCCTAATGAACTGCGATAATCAAACAGTGATTATTAAAGTGAACAGTTCAAAGGACAACATGAAGTCATCTAGACACATCAAGAGAAGACTGAAATCTGTCAGAAAGCAGAAAAACTCCGAAGTGATAGCATTGGACTATGTCCAAACGGCTAGAAATCTGGCAGATCAGTTTACCAAGGGGCTACCACGTAATGTGATAGACAGTGCATCGAGGGAAATGGGCTTGATACCCACCTAAGGTTGCATAATAGTGGAAACCTGTCCATTGTGATCGGAGATCCCGTGAATTTGGATGGTGAAACAAACTATTGTGTGACTGAGAGAAGAGACCCTTGAAAAGGGCTCATTTTCATGATGTGCTTCTCTTCTTTCCTGCATGGTAGGATGGCTTATGTCTTAATGTGATCCGAGTGGCTTTTCCAAGCAGAGATGTTGACCTACAGAACATCTCAGAAGGAACACACCTATATGAGTTCGACTGCTAGTCACAGTCTATGAGGTTTGGGCAATCTCTAGATACTCATGAAAGGCCTGGAGTTTGACTTATATGCTCCAAACAGAGGGGATGCGAACGGCAGCCCAGTACCAGTCAAGGTTCTGAGTGAAACCTGATCACACAAAACTTACAATTCAAGGCATAGTCCATTGTTCAGTTGTGGTCTGATGTAGCTCATTTCCTAGGTGGAAGTTCAACTTAACAGGCTCCACCAAAACCCTGGTATATCAAACAGGCACAACATTGAGAACATTTTTATGAGCCTTGAAATTTGGTGGGGATTGTTAGAATAATTGGGCTAGGCCCAATTTATTCTATTAAATCTCAAAGGCCCATAATAAATGTTAAGGATAATAATACCACCTCAGGATTTAAGCGAGAAATATCTCAACCTAAATAGGGAGTTATTAGAGGCTCCCTGTTGACCAGTTGAGGTGGGGGTCGGAATGCCACACGCGCGCGCGCGCGCCGGGCCGGGCCGGGGCATGGGCGTGGGCGTGGGCGTGGGCGTGGGCGTGGGCGGGGCGTGGCTGGCTGGCTGGCTGGCGGCGTGCGTGCGTCACGTCGCTATCCTTTTGCAGCCACTAACCCACGTTCCCACGATTCCCTCCGCAACAGCGCGTCCACGTTCTTTCTCCTGATAGATAAGGAGGCCGCGAGTCCGATCCGTCTTCTTCGCTTCTTTCCCGGTGTTAGTTTCTCCTTCTCCGCGCCTGAGTTGCTCTCGCTTCCCCGCTTCTGATCTCTTGCGCGCACGAGAGATTGGAAGAAGCAGTGCCTCCGAAACCACACCTTTGCCTGAGATCTGCACCGGGTAGGCGGGTGATCAGGTTTTTGGGGAGTGCCTCCTGCACGACTGCTCTGCTCATCGCCATGTCTGGAGTTGCTGCCGCCGCTACTGGCGGAGGTGGTACGCCGCCGCCGACAGGAGCTGGTGGTACGCCGCCGCCGACAGAAGCTGGATCCGGAGCTGGTGCGCCAGGAGGAGGTGCCGTGAACGACTACAACAACGGAGGCAATTCTGCCTCACCATCCAGCGGAGGGCCATTCTCGGGGTATAATCTTCTCCTCCTCCTGCTACTGCTGTTAGCGCTATTCCTGTTCCCATTGTTAGCGCTATACTGTGTGCGCTATGTTCTTGTTCCTGTTCTACATGATGCCTCTAGCATGTTATCGCGTTACTGGTATGTTCCTGTTTCTGACATTCATGATGCGCATAGTATGCTACTGGTTATGTTAAGATCACCCTACACTGCTTATGCCATGATCATTGTTTCATTTTCTTGGATTAAAATATACCGATTAATGACTATATTTCCAACATTCCTGATGTTGCTGAAAATGTTTGAAGGTCTGAACAGCATGTAGTTTCTGATTTCTATTAATGAAAATGGGGGGAGCTTGACTCTCCTAGTTAAAAAAAGATTAATTACCGGAGTTCAATTAAAATTCATAAAAGATTTTTGGCTAGTAGTCTAATACTATCGCTCAATTTATGATTTCAGAAGGTTTATGGTCCTCGATATATTATCAAAGATAATAAAATTACTATTTACTTGCCACTTAATTAATCAACGGTGGTATTTGTACATCTCATCAAGTATTTGTCTAGAGAACGACAGGTACGTAGAAAGGATGGATGGATGGATCGATCATGAATGGATGAGTTACAGAATTCAGTTTTGGAAAGGAACTTTGCGTCAACAGATAACTGTAAGAATTCCCACCAGCCAAAATTTTAAATTTTGTTTGGATTTAGAAAAATTTTGTTTAAATTCAACAAAAATCTGTTCAAAATTTCAATTATTTTGTCCTATGTTCCGAAAGAGTGAACCCTGTTACTCACAAGATACAACTCCTACTCCCTACCTTGCATACAAAATTGAGAAAATTTTACCAAACACTCACTAAATACGATATATGAAAAATGAAGTTAAATTCATCGAAATCTTACTGTCGAGGAAGTTCCAGCGGACGGGGCGCCCGGTGGCGACCTCCTGGTAGTAGACGACGAACCCCAGCTTGTCCCACACGTCGCACTCGATCCCGCCGGTGCGCCACCGGCCGAGGTAGACGACGCCGCCGCCGTCGGCGAGCCAGCCCGGGCGGAGCACGCCGACGGGGAAGCGCTCGGTGCGGCAGGAGCGGGAGTCGAAGTAGAAGGTGGTGCCGTTGTCCCACTCGACGTCGTAGAGCGGGTCGTCGGCGGCGGCGAGCTGGTAGCGGATCAGGTTGAGGTTGCGCCGCCGCGACCAGTCGTAGTAGAGGTCGGCGACACGCAGCGGTGGCCCCGTCGACGCGGCGGAGTGGTTGGTCAGGTTCGTGAACAGCCTCGCGTGGAAGACGTCCGGCCACCGCGCCGGCTTCGGCTCCGGCGGCAGCGCGTTGCCCGTCGCCGTCGCCGTCGCCGTCGCGGCGGCAAGGAGGAAGAGGAGGAGGAGGAGGAGGGGTGGCCACCGGGTGGGCGCCATGGCCGTGCGTGCTTAATGGGCCTTGGGTTTGGTTGGTGGCGGCAACAAAAATCTTATCTGCGTGTGTCGCCTTTTGTGTTGGGTGGTGGTCAGTCACTTACTCACTTATGTACGATGTTTTGCTTACGATAGTTTTACGATCAAACTTTTCTTTAACGGCTGCATGTTTCGGTCCTATGCAACTATACAATACTGCATATCCTTTTCTTAATAGATAACACCATTAAAGTTTAAATAATATTTTTTATCATTTGTTTTATTTAAAGAAAAAAAATATGAATTACCCCCTAAACTATGACGACAATATGAATTACTCCCCTAACCATAAAACCGGATATTTTAAACCTTGAACTATCTGTACCGGATGAATAAGCCGCCTCGACCCAATCCAAAGTAGTTTTGTCCTAAGTAGCATACACGTGGCAATCGTGTCAGCATTTTTCTTTTTAAAAAATGGTGGGGCCCACCTATCATATACTCTCACCTGTCTCTTTCCCTCCTCTTCCTCTCAATCTCTCTCTCGGGCGCCCGTCAGGAGCGTGACCTGGTGGCTGGCGGCGGGCGCAGCGGGGGCATGGTGGGCAGTGGATGTGGCGGGGGCGCAGCCAGTGGGATCGAGCCTGCCCTCCACCTGGGGATGCGGAGGATGGTGCCGGCGGCGGGCGGTGATGGCTCGGGCAAGGGAGGCCGGCGATGGAGAAGGAGCCAGAGGAGGGTGCGGCGCACCGGCGTGGATGGCGCTAGCGGCGGACAGTCGACAACGATGGCCCGGCAAAGGTGGAGGCGAACCCCGTCGACGAAGGAGAAGCGGTGTCGGCGACGGCTTCTGGGATGCGTCGGTGGCAAGGAGATCCGGCGGGGGGGCGGGCGGGAGAGGAGGCGTCGGTGGCAGGGAGATCCGGTGGCGGGCGGCGGGAGAAGAGGCACCAGTGGAAGGGAGATCCATCATGCTCGCCGCCCGCAGTGGCCTTTCGGCCGCCCGCCCCCCACGTCCCTGCCATGGCCGCCGGCCGCCGCGCCCCATCACACCCGCCGCACGCCGCGCCCCCGCCACACCCGTCACCCTCCGCGCCCATCGCCGGTTGCTCCCGTATGATAGAGAGAGAAAGGAAGAGGGGAGAGAGAAGAGAGAGAGGAATAGGAAAAGAAGAGTATGATAGGTGGGTCCCATATTTTTTTAATATATAAAATGATGACTGGATTGCCACGTGTACGCCATGCAGAACAAAACTGCTCTGGATTGGGTCGAGGGGGATAATTTGTCCGGTATTAAAAGTTGAGGGTGAACGATGTGTGGTTTTCGAGTTTAGGTGGGTAATTCGGTCGGCCACGATAGTTCTAGGGCGGGGTAATTCGTACTTTTTCCTTATTTACATAATTAGTACAAATATGCTAAAGTATAAAAAGTCAAACATAAAATTTTCATTAATGATAAAACATATAAAAAATAAAATGGTATTTATATAATTTTTTAATACGACGAATGGTCAAATGCATGTTAAAAAATCAATAGTGTCATCTATTAAAAAATAAGTGAATATTTTATACACAGAAATTTTATACGTATTGAAACATCGTACGTACAAACTTTATACCTAGAAATTTTATAAATTGTGTACAATATACGTACGTATATAAACATGTAAATAAAATTATACATCGGTGTTTTACACTATATGCATTCAAACTATGTAGGTACAGATTAAAAACAAATTCAAAATGAATTAAAAGGTTTTTCGAAAAAAAACAAACTGGGCTGTGAGGCCCACGTGACTGACCTCGAGTCTAATTCGGCCTGCTCTATAAACATGAGAAAAGGCAATAAAACAGACAAGGATTTTCTACACCTAGGTGCCATGGCACCCATCATTTGCATGCAACTTAAATAGTTATAGAAAAATTTAATAACATCGATTGTGATGATATAAGTCTATACATAAACATGCAGGACTAAAATTAATCTATAACTAGAGAAACAAAAGTAATAAAATCAGACAGTGAATAGTACCCGTACAGCGCAGATAAAATTTGTTATTTTTGTTTTTTCATATGTGGATCGAATTTAAACTTGCATGTTTGTATAGTGTCTTATATTATCGTAGTCTATCTTATCAATTTTATAAAATTTTGATATAACCGTTTAAATTATATGCATACATCTAGGTGCCATGACACCTAGGTGTAGAAAATACTTTGAGTCGGTTTTTAAGTTCATTCGGTTTTAGTAATACATATTTGTGTTTGAGTTGGTTTTTAACTTTGTTCGCTTTTAGAAACACAGAAGAAGTTGTATAAAAATTATCTTTTAAAAAAATATAGCATGCTAACTTGATTAGACGTTCAGACTCCTAACTGCAGCTCATGATTTTGTAAGAAAAACTATCCAAGCGAATTCACGTAGTGAATTAGCTAAACCGTATAATAATATTATTATTAAAATAGAATCACCCGTTGCAACACACATGTTTTTTTTTAGTAAAATAAAAAACCTGATTATCAATCGAAGCCCAAAAAAAAAATGCAGCGCATTCGTGCGGGCCGAATTGAAAATGAAAACCAGACCTGATAATCCTTAGCAGTTAGCAATGGGGACTTGAGAGTAATCTGACGACGGTCAGCTACAATATGCATATGTCATAGCATGCTATATATAGTGGTAGGTCCCTTCAGATGTATAAGAATTAGTTATAGGAATTTTGGTAAAATTAGGTTGTTCCTTGGTTATTCGGCTCCTGGGATTACAATTTCTGATTGATTGTATATGGATTAAAGATGTTTGATCAACTTCTTTGAGTGACGACATGTAGAGAGGAAGTAAGATGGTAGAAACCGTGGACAATTCTTGTATAAATATATATATATTTAGAAACGTATCCTTTTAAATAGAAATTCGTTTCACTCACGTACGCAGCTCCCTGGCCCGTACGTGCCTCTCCTGATATCAGTGAAAAGAGAGATAATGGCATAATCAAGGCAATTTCTTTCAAAGAACAACGTAACTAAACGCCGTCAAATGCAAACTGTTCCAATACTCACATCAATCTCTTTCAAAATTCCTAGCTAATAATTAACAAGGAACTAGTGAGCAGATGATGAATTTTGACTCTACGAGAATTACAATGCTCAAACAAGTTTCGATCAATTAATTGGTGTTGTTGCCGTGTTGCATATATTATGCACTCTGGCAAAATTGCAAAGTTTCTCTTTTCTGCAGTCTTCATTTTTCCTTTTTTTTCTCCGCTAGCAGCTAGGCAATATTTTGAAACTTTGATCATATTTAAATACTTTGTTCGAAAAAATAGTACATGTTGATTTGTGTTGAAAAGTACTTTGATAATCGCATATATAATCTTATTAGATTTTAATAACTTACTGTAACATACAATTCTAGCATATCTGATTTAAAATGTACGTAAAATTATCTCAGTATAAGGGGGAGTACTATTGAGTATATGTATATGTACACGAAACATGCTTGTAATAAATATATGTATATATTGACAACGGAACCGATTATACGGTGCAAGGAGGAAAATATGTTGAACGACTTGGTACTTAATATATATATATATTCGCACCAGAGTACAAATGACATTAATATAAACTAATTAGACTGATCCCCTAGATTAGACCTAATTACAAAAAACTAAGAAAAAATTAGCTAGGCAGCATGCAGCCATATATGCACTCATATGTACTGGGGTATTATATCTAAGATCAAAATTCTAATCTTCTTCTTGATTGCACCTAATTAATAAGCATCCATCTAGCTTGTTGCTATCAATTACGTTGATGGTTCTGCAGAAGAAAAAAAAATAAAAACACAAATCAGAATACAGAACTCGTCGGAGATTCAGGATTGATGAATATAACATTATAACATGTCTTATTTTTTCCATAAAGAATTGTTAATTCATGTTTACCGGGAGATGGAGATGGAGCAGCAGCAGGAGTAGAAGCAGGCATCAACGGCGGCACTGGTCCCGCTGTCAAAATTAACACAGCATTGAGAAAAACGTTGGAAAAGTAGAACACACCTAATTAAAAAGATATACTAGCTCCGTTTTTTAAATAGAGGACGCCGTTGACTTTTTCTCACATGTTTGACCATTCGTCTTATTCAAAAAATTTACATAATTATAATTTATTTTGTTATGAGTTGTTTTATCACTCATGGTACTTTAAGTATGATTTATATCTTATACATTTGTATAAATTTTTTGAATAAGACGAATGGTCAAACATATGAGAAAAAGTCAACGGCGTCATGTTTTAAAAAAAGAGGGAGTATATGCAAAATTCGCTAAACTACTGGCTAGAAAAGAGAGAGGAAACTAAGACTTACTGAAGCACTTGGTGAGAGCCTCAACAGGCGGGGCAACGCCGCAGGTGGCCGGAAGAGACATAATGCGCGTGAGATCGATCGGCGCCGGCATGAGCTTGCTGATGTTGCCGTTGATGCCGTGGCAGAGGCAGATGGGCGCCTTCTCCACGAGCGACTTGAATCCGTCGCAGCAGACGCTTGGGGGAGCCGGCACATCGGCCTTGGTGACGTACTCCATGCACGGCATCAGCGCCATCAACGACGACAAGCACTCCGTTGGCTGCTGTGGTGCGATAGGCGCTGCAGCCAGTGCGCTCTGGGAGCTAATGGGGATTCGTGCTGGTGCACCTGGTGATCCCGGTGTGATGGAGACTGACGGCAATGGTGGCAATGGTGGTAGCTCCGGGATTTGGATCGTCGGAAGTGTCGGCAGTTGTGGAAGCCCTGGGATTGTCGGAAGTTGTGGCAATGTCGGAAGCCCTGGGATTTGGATTGTTGGAAGTGGAGGCAGTTGTGGAAGGCTTGGGATTTGGATCGTTGGAAGTTGGGGCAACGGTGGGAGACCTGGGATTTGGATCGTCGGGAGTGGTTGCAATGGGGGCAGACCTGGCAATCCAACCAGCGAAGCTGATGGCTGGGTCACGTCGGCATTTGCGACGGTTGGCTTGAACACCTGGGCGTCCCTGACGGCTGCCGACGGCTGCAGCGAGGAGACGGCGAAGAGCGCGAAGAAGACGACGAGGAGGATGGTCTTGAAAGGCGCCATCTTCATCTGCTTGCGAAAGCTGCGTTTCGATCTGCACGTGGGTTGGTGTTCGTTGGTCCATGGCATACAGCTGGTTATATAGTGGTTACGGTTTGCAGATAAGAGAGTTTAAACACTTGTTGTAATGACACAGGTCTGTTTAATTACCTTTCAAGTATATACGTCGATCTCTCACGTGTGGATTAATTAGCAAGTATATACATCTTTATATCTGCATTATTATCCGGTTATCTCAGTCTTAACGCGCACTGTTTCTCTCTGATATGTCTAAAATTTTCAGTTTGACAGAGATTGGAGACTTCAATCCATTAACTAAAAATATGCCTGGGTTAAGCTACATTATATGTGGTTGATGGAAGCAGACCCTCTAACTTAACTGCACATACAGTTAAGTCATTGACATGTGCAGTTAAGTTAGAGGGTCCCTTTCCATGGTTGATCGCAGAACGATGGCTCTTCATTACATTGCTAGGACTTTATTTGGTCGTGTTCACATACATACGTTGTCAGCCAGGTCTTCAGGTATTATGTTTGTAATAATTAAGCAGTTGGATTTTTAGTAAACTCTTTTTATCAACGGATGGCGTTGTGAATTTTGGGTAAGGTGTAAGGCTCTCAGCACTCTTAGATTTTGTATGTACTAGATCCTGGGGCGCGCCTTTGCGCGCCGCCTGAAGGGCCAGCGAAGCAACGAAGCAGGAAATTAGTGGTGATGCTATGATGGGAAAGGAGCTTTTTTTTTTTGGGATAGTTGATTGTGGCGAGGGATGTACCGTACGTGTTATCCGTGATGGACTGACCAAAAAGAACAGTGTGTGGCATGGTCTCCAGGCAAGCAGCTGGATCAGGTGAAGGCAAAGAACACGGTCAACAGATCTGAAGAAAACGACTCAGAGGAGCATACTGTAAATATGTCTACCAGCACGGACGTATATAAACAGGAACAATTTAGATTAGCTCATTCGTGCATATTAATAGTATCCTAATCAGTAAGCTATCTTGCATGATAAAAACAACAAATATCATACGATAGCTACAAAACAATGGGCAGTTCACTATCAACGTTCAGCATTCATATTCAAACCTCAGTTTGTTATTCATCAGTTTGCTAAATAAGGATAGAAGCTTATACTTTGGAAGAGTGTCTCCCGGCTTATCCAATAATAATGCTCATTGTATAGGGGCATAAATGGCCAGAGAATACAAATCTTTTCCCATAAGGGCAGATAATATTCAATAAAAAACTATTGAAATAATTCATTAACAGAAAAGTCAGATGCTACAAAGCCACAAATATTCTGCCAGTTCAACTACACGTTGTTTCTAAGAGAAAGTTCAATAGTATAGCTAACTACTAGCTCCAATTTATCTATAACCAATCTAATAGCTCATTCATACAATAGTTACATACTACACTATTAATACTTGGTCCCACCTGTCATACACACACTGTGTCTTGGAGTCCGTGCTACAGCTGGCTACAAATCTGTAGTCCGCTGCCCTTCTCTCTCCTCATTTATCTCCTTAAAATATATTTGCAGCTGGCTTATAGCCCGCTATTGTACCTGCTCTAAATATCTCCAATAGTTATTGAATCTATCACCTGCTCTGCTGAGAAGTAAAAAAAAAAAAGCTGACCATCTAATGTACAGATCACTTGGAGTAGTTGACAGTCCTGATCCTAACCCTCATTGATGAGATGTAAATTTGTGAGCCACGATGACTTCATGTGAGGCATCGGTAGGTGATGATTGTGCTATTGATGTAGCAACATCCTCAAAACTGTTTCTTCGCATCTTAAAGGCACTGCAAACAATTTTGCTTATAGAAACTGGAAAGGGTTAGGGAATCATTTTGCTAGTTTCTTCTATTCCTGAAAACACTATAAACAATTTTGCTTGTGGAAACTGAACAGGGTTAGGGAATCATTTTGCTTGATGAGAAGAGCCTTGATGTTAACCAGGAATCAGAAAAATGGGCAATACCAGCAAAGACAAGGTGAAGCAGACATACCTCATTATTTCACCATACCCCTCTCCATAGGAAATCATGGAAGAGAAAGAGAGTAAAATACCCTGCAGTAAACACAAATTGCCAGGTAAGTGCATTTCAAAAATATAAAAGAATCTAGTCGGTTCAATGATCTACCTCAGGACAGTCCTAAGAATCACAAAACACAAAATGGAAGATGCATGTACATCGTAGCGTGTTATAAAACACATTGGATATCACTGCTTTTTCTGAAAAGTTCCTGGAAACTACACCAAGAATTGTGACTGATGAGAGAAAGCACACATGAAAAGAACCAATTCATCAACAGCGAATGCAAGGTGGCAAGCTTATCAGGTGACTGAATCAGATATCCAAGAGCTTTTCAAACGGATAAACTAAAAGCACTATTAAAATGGTACGTAATTTGCCATTTGAAATGCACCATATCTGCTATATCGCTATTTATGTAGCACTGCAAGCATATTTTTGCTATCAAAACCTATTTCACTGATTATATAGAAAAGGTACATAGGCATAATTTCTTCTATTTAGATGCTCAATTAGAAAAGAACACAGTAGTGCCGTGAAGAGATAATATATCTATTTCTAGTGAGTCTAGAGGTGTTACTGGTCCTGAAGAGATAACTGAGTAGTTCTTAATAATTCTCACAATTTAGAACCCAAGACCAAATTGTAGAACACATGCATTAATAGCTAGTTACCTGCATGAAAGCTAGTGTATATTGAATTGGTTTCCAATTAGAGTGTTGCCAATCATAAAAATCAGGCAAACCAAGTTATCATGTGTCAATGCTTGTGCCAAATTAAGAAAGCATGGACAATTAAATCCTGTGCGATAAAAGAAACTGATTCATACAAACAGGTGAAATAAATCAACTCACATGCATTGGTTGCATGAGTATCAAGATGATTGCATCCACAATCCAAACCTTAATTGGATGAATTGGTTCTTAATTAAGTTTATCTTAATTAAGTAAATGTAGGGCATAAAATAAATAACATAGAATTATTCTTAGCTTGAAAAGTTATATTGACATTCTGTCATAAATGCAACATGTAGAAACCTAAACATAGGTGCACCAAACCATCTCTCCCTGAAAGATGACTCTTTGACAACTATTGGTATGATATCCATCTAGATACCTCGAAGAAGATGGGGATGCCAAGAATAAACAATATACCTACATATAATATCTGAGCACCTACTACATAAAATGGAAGGGAAAAACACCAAGATCATAGGCAAGCCCAGATAACAGCCATCGCTTTGGCGACATTAATCATCCTACTTGAATTGAAAAAAAAAAGAGAAAGCATCAATTGTTTAGCGCCCAAGGATTAGACTAAAAGTGAGGCTCAAATTAGAGAAATTTTTTTTACTAAATGGGTTACTAATAATATAACAAAGCACTATTCTAGGTACATATATGCCAGCGCATACTCTGATCGTAAATTGGTTGTGTCAAAGAGCAGGGGTTAGCAGAGGAGGCAGAAAAGAAAGGATAAGGTGGACTATTTCCATTTAAGAATATATTGCCACTAATCTGCACCAGAAGAACTATTGCAGGTAGATATCTATGCACAACAATTAGCAAATTAAGGAACTGCAAGAATTATGCAAGGATGATTTTGTAATCAAAATGATATGAGAAGTAAATAGATGAGTGGTGCTGGAGAGGCAAGTCAGGCCATTGGTACCTATCTTTCCATGCTGAATTCTTCTTCGATTTAGAAATTCGTAATGGTTGGACACCTCTACCTGTCTTTCATCAAGGAATGCATCCTATATTCCCATTCTGATGTTCTGTAAAAAAATATACAGTTCCGATCATTTATTAGTGCATATACTATCTATGAAGCAAAGAGAGAGGGAGTAGGAGAGAGAGCAAGACGCTAAAAATGCAAATCGTTAGTTTTGTCATGTAGAGTACAGATAACACATCCTCTTTTGTACCGTTTGGTTGGTTATATTTTCTTGCATGTAAATTATTGTAATGTAATAAAAAAAACTATGCGTAACATAGCAGATTAGGTTGTCCTTCACAGCAATCAGCCAAGAAATTCCAAAGCAGAAACAAATATCTGCAACTGATGACAAAGAACAGCTATATATCCCCAACTGTATCTGAAGCGTGCTCTTTTGCAGACCTTAAAAACTAGGTACAGGATGCATAGCCACTTGCTTGAACTTTAGAGAAAAACAAATCCAGTTAAAAATAACCTAAAAATATGTAGGATTGGAGGAAGGGGAGATGATACCTGTGGAAGTTAGAAAGGGATTGATGGTGCTGGCGGCTGGAGCAGATGAAGGAAACGGATAGTACTTGTCGCTTGCGAGGCAGTGGAGCAGCTTGGGATGGACTTGGCAGCAATGAGTGAAGCGAAGGTCTTGGTGCTCGCTAGCAGCTTGCTCTGCGCGAAGATGACGTCCTTGAGTCGTTGGATCTTGAGCTGCGGCAATCATGTCCTTAGCCTGTAGGTCGAGCCGGCGCACCACATCCCCCGCCTACGGCGCTGGGTCCCAGAGCTCCACCACCCAACCTCCTCATTTGCCAGCCGCTTGCTCTACATAAATCAACCGCTCGCCGGAACGAAGAGGTTAGGTGAGGAGGGCATGCGGTAGCGGATGAGGCCTGCCTGGCGGCGGCGGCGGGGGCGCCTGTTGCTGGCCGATTTCCTCAATCGCGCCGGCAGTCGCGGCAGCCCCACCTCCTCGCGACCTGCTCGTCTCCATCTGCGCGTGCTCCAGAGCCTCCGCCGGCGTCGGCGTCCAGGCTTAGATGGGAGGGGCGGAGGACAGAGGTAGGGGAAGAGGAGCCGACGAGACTTGATAATGGTGGCGCGGAAGTCGAGTCGTGCGTTTGCGTACACACTTCGTCCTCTCGTTCTCCAAGCCGGAGTAGTAGCAGGAAGTTTCCCACGTTAGCTGATCGGTGGGGCCTACAGATATCAATTCATTGGGAAGTTGAACCTCCCAGCCGTGATTTGATTGGAGGCCAAGGAAATTTCTCACGAAACTACCTAAGGTGTAGCTGACGCCTGGGGCCTACACACGAGCGACCCAATTGGTCCATGTGGAAGAGGAGCAGTAATCACACGGACGAAAAAAATCAAACACCATATTTCTGTCGCTACAGTAATCCGACGTGGTACGCCCCGGAAGCCGCCCAGGGTGCCAACCTTTATAGGTTTCCTAAGGGCAACCATAATGTATGAAAAATATGATTTTAAGGTAATAATTGTACTTGTAAAGTGAGCCATATACATTGTGGAAAGTAGCATTAGCTTAAGGTGCACCTTATGCTTAAGTTTTACCACAAGCAAAAAGAAAATATATTTTCTCTCTCATTCACTTCATGAACAAAAGATGAAACAATTATTTTTCCATTCTATGTGGGCCATCTTGTGGCTAAATTCTAACCATAGCATTGTGGGTATGGCTATAACAATGGCTCACTATTCATAGGGTCCACCTTAAAATTAAATTACACCACAAACATTGAGGATACCCTAATGGGCTGTGTGAATCCAAGTTCTGGGTTTTAATCCATTAAAAATGTCTAATTATTAACTCATGTTTAAGCATAGAGTATAACTGTCCGAAATCTTGTGATAATTTTTTTAAGGAGTGTGTTATATCAATAACAACATAGTGAATTTCAATTTAGATTCTTTTTATGTACCAAATGTTTTAAACCTATCTTTCTCTCTCTTAAGTTGGACCTCCTTTTAATCAATAAATCCTATCTTATACTATATATAAAGTTATAACCCACTGACTCCTAAGACATAAATATGCCAAATCATCATGCACTAACAAGATGCCACATCATCATCCACTAACAATCATTAAATTCAAACATCATGTAAACATGCTATATTACCTATAATTTTATAATTTATTAAATTTAGAGAGCTTTTAAATGCAAGCATGTTAAATCATCATCCCACATAATTCACATAATATTCAATATATATCTTCATTATTTTATAATATGCTATGTATCTATATAGTTCATCCTCACTAGGCTGTGTTCACTGGATTAGGCTGTGAACCCATCTCCTGTGCACAGAAAACGGAGCGGTCCAGCATGTGATTAATTAAATATTAGCTAATTTTTTTCAAAAATGGATCAATATGATTTTTAAGTAACTTTTTAATAGAAACTGTTTAAAAAACACACCGTTTAGTAGTTTGGGAAACATACGAGCGGAAAACAAGATGGAGGGAGTTGGGAATTATGACTTACGAATAGAGCCTTAGTTAATGTTATTTCTCTCTTCTCCCATTAAGCCATATCACATCAATATTTTAGTGCTTAAATGATTAACCTATGGTCTAAATTATCTCTCTCCTTTTCTTCTCTAATTAAAACATATCACCTCAATTACTTTTAGCCTTTAGATGATTAATCTACAGTCTAAACTATCTCAATACTTTTCTTCTTTCATAAAGTCATATCACCTTACTTTTACATTTAAATCATCATTCTATATACTATTTAAATTTAAATTATCATAAACCATGTTAACTTATGTAATATTATGTTGTCTAGCTATCTTACATATTATTTTTACTTATTGTTATCATACTAAACTCTCGTAGCAATACGCGGGGTTTCACCTAGTTTCTTAAATGTGAAAGCCCCCTCCCCATCAAGTGTCGGTTAGACAAAATCCGACACGATGTGGTCTCCCACTTGCTCAGCCATGTGTTCTCTGATAGGGCAAGAACCGTCACTAATAAAACCTTCAGTGGCAAAATTTTTAAATTTTGGTCGGGGTTATTATTGACAGTTCTATTTATGAATTAGTGATAGTTTTGGATATGAATGTAATATTTTTATACAAACTCGGATTAAGAAAATATTTGTCTGAAAAATATAGCTCTTGATGTGTTGGAGCACTCCTACAACGGGGAAGTGAGGGACCCCTCCCCTTCCCCCCCCCCCCCCCTCCTTGAAGATTCGGCTAGGAAGCGGGTGCACGGTGACGAGGCGATATATCGCACGAATGAAAACAAGAGAGCTAAGATGTTTTAGACTTGTTTGGGCCGCTGAGAAGTGTAATACCCTACTCCTATATGTATGTAGACTATGGATCAAAAACATAGTCCCTGTTGCGGGCCACTGAGAAACGAACTGAGGTTTGCGTGGCGAAGCTGACCCCATCCTTGAGGGAGGGCAAAGTCCCAAGCAAGGGAGTATACCCTGGCAAAAAACCGCCACTGCGGTGGCCCGGCGGTGGTATCAATATCTTGAACGTCTTCACCACCACCATCGCCAATCTCATTCCTCAGGCTCGACCGTGTAGTCCTCGTTGTCATCCTCCACCTCGGAGTCCTTATCCGGAACAGTGGCGGTGGCTTTCAGTGCCCTATGCGTCTACACCTGGGAGAAAGCGGCGCCTTTGGTGACTGCGCGTTTTCGCTTCCGCGAATGGCCGACATCATCACCCATAGCAATCTCCTTCATGGGGTTTTCGCGCGGAGGGAGTTCGCTCTCAAAAATCTGATTCGCTCGCTCGTCAATCCGGCGAGCGATCATGACTCCATACTCCTTCAGGATGAGGTCCGCAATGAGCTTTTTCGCCTCCGCCTTAGCCCGCTCCAACGGCAAAACTACACCGAGCAAAGAGGAAGTGGTGAGACGTGAGCATGACAAACGAAGTATGAAATACGAGAAGCGAAGGAGACTTGCAGGCGCTTCCGATGAGGGGAAGGTTGCGAGCGAAGCCAAAAACTTTGCTCATGGGATTGAGCAAAACCCTCCAATCCCGCGCCAAGGGCGTTACCCAAGCATAATATATATTTATATAAAAGGTTATGCCTTATATTTTGGGATAGAGGAAGTATCATTTAATATTTTATTGGAGAGAGTTTGGTGTTTGTTCTATTACCTTTTCTTTTTCTTTTTCTTTTTCTTTTTATTTTTCTAGTAAGTTATTTATTTTTTTCGAACGGCCAAACAGGTTGCTTGGCGTTATATTAATAGAAGGAGATTAAGTACACATCAAAAGCTGAAGAAAAAAATGAAAAATTATACATTACTGAGTGCAAACAAGCTTGCACGTCAGACCACCTTGCGCCTCATGGCAACAATCTCGCAACATGCTTTGCGCCGGTCAAGCTCCAACAGCCCAACTCGTCCTGAACTTGGTTGATTATTTGATGGGTTGTCGCCTCCTTGCCCCTAAAGATTCTCGCATTTCTTTCTCTCCAGATTTCCCAATCTACTAGCAGTAAGACTGATTTGAGCCCTTTATGTTTTGTTGCTTCTGGATCGCTTGTTCCTTGTGTCCACCAATCCAGCAAATCCGTGCTAGTGCCCCACCTCTGGATGATGTGCCCTTGTCATAGCCAATGGAGCACGCCAAACCAAACTTGCTTCGAGACTGGGCATTCGAATAGCAGGTGGTTGATGGTTTCAAGGTTTCAAAAACATAACTGTCAAAAGTAGTTGTTTAGCCACCCCCCTGATTTGCAACCTATCTGCTGTCCATACCCGATTTTGAATTGCAAGCCAACTGAAGATCTTGCATTTCACCGGGGCCCATACCTCCCAAGTCAGCGTTGCTAACGGCGAGGTTGTTATTCCCTCAAATTGGAAAAGATAAGCAGATTTTGCGTTGTATTCCCCATTTGCCATCCATCTCCAGGTGATCGAATCCTCCACTCCTTCTGTCAATTGCGGGCATTCGAGTGCTAAGACCTCCCAGATCTTTATGTATTCAGAAAGAAGGGTGATGGTGAGGTTGTGACGGATGTCATTTATCCACCTTCCATGTTGTAGGGCATCCTGTACTGTGCGGTTTTTCCTCTTGGAATGCCTGTATAGGTTCGGCGCTAGACTCTTAAGCCTATGTCCGCCAATCCAGTTGGATTCCCAATAGTGCGCCTTTCACCCATCCCCAATGGTGACTTTAGTCGATGCTGCAAACAATTCCTTAACGAGCTCATCACATGGTGTTTCAGTTCCTATCCAAGGTTTATTTGGCGCCTTCCATTCATACCAAAGCCATCTCAGTCGCAAGGCTCTAGCAAATTTTTCCAGGTTGGGAACTCCAAGACCGCCATAATAGACAGGGGAACAAACCTTGGGCCAATTTATTTTGCATTTGCCCCCGTGCATTTCCTCATTACCAGCCCAAAGGAAACATCTTCTTGCTTTGTCGATTTCTTGAAAAAATTGTTTCGGCGGCTTCAACACCGTGAGGACATACGTAGGGATGGAGCTTAGCACCGAGTTAACCATAACCCGGCGCCCTCCTGTGTACAACAACAATGCCTTCCAACTTGATAGGCGGCCTTTGATCTTATCGTGCACCGGCTGGAGATGTACCTTGCGTAGGCGGCTAGGAGTGAGTGGTAACCCGAGATCAGTTAGTGGGAAACTGGCTTTTGATCCAGAGAAATTGCATAAAACATCATCAAGGTCAATTCCCTGGCATCGTATGGGAGCCACCAAGCTCTTATCCAAGTTGACATGTAGTCCTGTTGCCTTGCCAAAACCTCTAAGAATGCCAATGAGAACATCCACTTCATTTTGACATGGATTGAGAAAAACCGCCGCGTCATCCGCATACAAGGAGGTCTTGAATCTGGCATGGCAACTCCCAATGGTGGTTAACTGACCACTCTCTGTTGCTCGACTTAGAAGTTTCTGCAAGGAATCAATTGCCATAATGAAGAGATAGGGTGTCAGGGGGTCCCCTTGCCTCAAGCCTCGGTGATATGTGATGCTTTCCCCATGATCGCCATTTAAGGCAACTTTAGAAGTCGCTGAAGCAAATAGCAAACATATCCAATTTCTCCACCGATGGCCAAAGCCCATCTTTTGCATTACTTCTAACAAGTATTCCCACGAGACCAAATCGAAAGCACAAGCAATGTCAAGTTTGAAGAAAAGAGTGTGCTTCCTGTTTGCACTCAAGTTTCTCACAATATTCCGAACGTACAGGAAATTGTCCAGTAAGATACTTATTGATTGTGTTCCCAGTAGAAAAGGCCGGATAGACATGTAAACTATTTTTATTATCTTAAAAAATATATCTCGATACTTTGCCAAGTACTGTATGTAAAAAAGTCCATTTGCATTAAGGTTTTATAGATTTCTGCTGCCGAGATCAACGTACGTTATGTCAACCGAGCACGGCAAATAGTGGTGAGAGTGCAGCAAGAAAAATAGACATGTAAAAAACTAGACAATTAGATGCAAATGTACGTGCGGTATGGCTTTTCAATAGTGGGTTCTGATCGTGGTGTGACCTTTTTTTTTCTGTTTTCTGACTAACCTCCAACAGTAGACGTGCTATATCATTAGGAATCGTCGCCATGTTTTGTACGTCTTGTTTCAAAAAGAGAAATTCTATGATGCTTGAGAAAATATCTAGAGATTCCAAGATTTAACACTTAAAAATTTTGATATCTCAAGATACTTGGTACCAAATTTTACAAATGTAGTATCTCCCGGTATCTTCTCAAGGCTTTCAAAATTATCCTTAAAAAAAAAGCAATTTTAGAGTGGATCTGTTTTACAGTAACCTCTACCGTCCGCAGAGAGGCAGAGAGGGGCAACAGCATTAAGCACGTGGATAGCTTGGATCAAAATCGCCACAGTAGAAGTGCTATAATGGAGTTTACCTCTATAGTTTTTTCTATTGAAAATGGAATATTATACAAATATATATATCAATCAAATGGAGTGTTATTCAAATGCATATATCAATCAAATGAATCGTTTCATGCTGTTTGCACATTCGCACACAATCAATGGAAGCTTTAGCTAGACAAAACATATATATTTTCAAGTTGGCCGGTTTCATGGCTAGGCTGCCGGGAAGGTGGCGTAAGGGTTGTCGGCAAAGGGCAGCAGCTTGTCGTTGCCAGGCCGAGACAACACAATCTGGTAGTTTCCAAGTGTACGTGACTTGAACCCAGCTGCGCAGTATATGAAATAGTACTCCCATATGCGGATGAACTTGTCATCGAATCCCAGGGACTTTATCTCTCTGTGTGCAGTTCAATTGGGGATCAATTAGGATCATGTGACAGCATTAAGATTTTCAATCATACATGTAGAAAATACAGTAGGGTATATATAGTACTTGTCATGTTTTGTGCATGCAAGTTTTCTGAATTCACAATACTACTGTATATTTGAAAAAGAAAAAGAAAAGGAAAACTCACTCTCTGTTAGCCATGAAGTTGTCCCGCCAGCGTATCAGCGTGGGGTAGTAGTGGTACCCAATATTCTCCAAGTGCTCGATGCTGCATATATGCATTTTTTTAAATTTTCTTTCGCAAGAAAAAAGTGTTATATAGATTAAATTCTCATAAGTAAAAGCATTATTTGTTTGGCGACAGTTTTGCTAGCGGTAAAAAATTGTTCCTTCCAATGAACTTTATTAAACTCTGTACACATTGACTAATTATCAGTCAAACTGTATGCATATGTTTATACTAGAAAAAAGCAATATTGATATATTCATCTCTACTATTATAAAAATTGAAGATGTTTTTGCCGGTATTTTGGTACGTCATCCGTGTATGAGTCGGTTTTTAAGTTTGATTGCTTTTGAAAATACATATCCGTATTTGAGTCGGTTTTTAAGATCGTTCACTTTTGGTAACACAGAAGAAATCATATAAGAAATATGTTTAAAAAAACTCACATGCTAACTTGAGACGATCGGACTCCTAACTACAGCTCATGATTTTCTAAAAATATATATATCCAAGCGAACTCCTACAGTGAATTTCATCTTAACTAAACCATATAGCAATAATAAGATTAAAGTAGACTTCACCCGTTGCAACGCACGGGCATTTCTCTACTATTATAAAATCTGAAGATGTTTCCGCGGTCCGTCATCCGTGTTTGAGTCGGTTATAAAAATTGAAGATGTTTCCGCGGTTCTTCATCCGTGTTTGAATTGGTTTTAATTTTATGTTTTGGTTTTAATCTATTTCTCTTCTCTATCTCTATCTCTACTATTATAAAAATTGAAAATGCTTTTGCCGGTATTTTGGTACGTCATCCGTGTATGAGTCGGTTTTTAAGTTCATTTGCTTTTGGAAATACATATATGTATTTGAGTCGGTTTTTACGATCGTTCACTTTTGGTAATACGGAAGGAATCATATAAGAAATCTGTTTTAAAAAACTCGCATGCTAACTTAAGACGATCAGACTCCTAACTGCAGCTCATGATTTTCTAAAAATATATATATCCAAGCGAACTCCCACAGTGAATTTCATCTTAACTAAACCATATAACAATAATAAGATTAAAATAGACTTCACCCGTTGCAACGCATGGGCATTTTTTCTAGTATATATAAAAGCGTACAATTTTATACTATACTGATATTTCTAGTCATTGGCAACACAATCCAAGAGAAATTAAAGGCAAAAATGTAGCACATTTCAGAGCTATATTGAATCAAAACATGTTCTTATAAAATTCGAAGCGAGAGAATTAATTTTACCATAGCCTCGACGAGGTGGACATGGCGGATGTTATCCGAGACAAGGATGGAAGGCAACCCCCAGGAAATATGTATTCCTTGATGAAGTCTGAACTCCTCCTGTATTCTTCGTACCGTTCTTCAGGGATGGAGATGAACTGGAGGACGAACAGGCCATCCTGTGCCAGGAGAGACTCGCAGCAGCCGAAGAAATCGTCCATGTATTCATGGCCTACCCCTTCGATCATTTCACTGCAGGAAATTATAATTTATTTGTTTTTGTCAACATTCCAGAGATCAAAGTGGTACTGATAGTACGCGTTTCTGTTTGGACTTAATTACCAAGATATGATCCTGTCATATTTTCGAACTGTTGGTATTTGACGGTAGTCGCACAGCAGGAAAGTCATGTGGTCCTGGCAGAGAAAATAAACGGATGGAGACCAAGATTATTAATCAAGTAACCAAAATTAAACAAGAAAATTATTGGAAGAGGTATACATATACTACTACCTTATTTCTTTTTTTTATCTGATGTCTTATAATTGTGTTGTCTACATTTTAAAGTTTGACAATAATATATTCTTTCAACTAACTATACTTTCACCCTACAGAAAGAACTAATTAACTGCACTTGTAAATGGACTATATCTGAAAACTATGCCATCAGAATATTTTTCATAAAAGAAATACTTACATGGCAAATAACTTTATGAAAATAAGACATAGGAGTATAAGATTACCTCTAGACCAGCTTCCTTCACTTTTCTCTGGCAATATTTAAGCTGCTCCTCAGACAGTGTGACCCCAGTGTATTTGCAACCAGTCTGCTTGACCACCTGTATCGCTAGGCTGCCCCAGCCACTACCAATCTCGAGAACATGGTGATCTCGCTCCACCCTAGCCTTCATAATCACATCATGTTCGTCAGTTAATTAAGTAGTAACTGCAAGAAATTAAACTAATTGAACTACTAGTAGCTTAATGATGTGAATGCAGCAGAATGCTGCATATATTTGCATGCGTGTGTACCTTGTGGATTAGCAGGCTAACTTTGCGCTGCTGGGCTGCTTCTAAACTCTCGTCCTCGTCCTGTCAATTGATCAAGCTCACAATTTAATAATTTAATCAACTAGCAGTTTTAAAACAATTGATTATTAACGCATTATCTAAAGCTTATTAATTTAAGCAACCTTGAAGACGGCACAAGAGTATGTCATCGATGGATCCAGGAAAAGGGAGAAGAAATCGTTGCTCTGCACTCACACAAATCCAGACGCAGCGCTAATTATTAACAAATCGATGCTAATTGATTAAATACGTGTGATTAATTAGCCAGTTGACAGTAAGATGCAGTGATTAGTTAGCCAGTTGACAGTAAGATGTAGTGACTGACCAGGTCGTAGTGCTGGGAGATGTTCTGGCGAGTCTGTGTGACAGTGTTCTTCCTGGACACGTGGCGCAGGAAGTATTTGGCAGACGCGACCCCGGCCGTCAGAAGCATCGGTGTCCACCAGCCTCTGGATAATTCAGCATCAGGTGGTTAACTGTATTGTGTCATTCGATTCACTCCCATGTGTTTCTTTAATTTGATTAATTACAACCGGAGGATTTCGATCAGTATTGTACAATTGGTTAACCTTATTCTGCTGGTGCTGGTGCTGCTCTGCTTGTTGGCGTCTCTGTTAGCAATCAGAATCTGCAGCCAAAAAAATGAACATCGACCACTTCAGTTCAGATTGCATGCTCAGAAACAGATAAAATGCAGAAGGATGTTGCAGCTGCGTATATAATTTAAGGTGGAGTTAAGTATGCAATGAGTGGAATGATTATGGTTGATTTAATTACCAATAGAAGGTTGAGAAGGCCCTGTTTCTTGTCGACGAAAGAGCAGTAGCCGTTGATGTAGGCATCTGCCAGACCAAGGTCTGCTTCCGTCGCCACCTGCAACCAAAATGACCGATTAATTGATTCACCAGATGAATTATATAGAGTAATAACACAATATGCGAGTGAGATATGCATGGCGTTGTACTTGTAACTAATAACAGACGAGTTAATAATTAATTAATTAGTTAATTAATAAAGAAAATATAAACCTTCCAGTAGAAGAGGGGGTCATGGACTCGCATGACACATTTGGCCTGACATTTCTTCCCTGCCTCACCAAAACTGAACATGGTGCCTCCTTCCTCCAGCAATCTGCATATATACACACAAAATTTCCCCATTGCCGTTTCATGTTAATTTAAGTAAAATATCATCCTAAACCAGTGAGACAGAGATTAGCATATCTATTTCTATTGGAAGTAATTACCACTAATCAATTTGCTCAATCAAATGGAAAAATACAGAAGAGGAATACACGTATACGTATACGCATACGGTCGACATACGTCAGGTTACCGACGGAGACGTAGCCGGCGAGGAACCTGGTGACTAGGAGCCGCGCCCCGGCCTCTGTCCACGACGGCACCATCTGCCTCGGATTCGCCAGCAGCCGCCGCTCGCCGGCGCCGCCGTTCGCCGCGAGCAGTAACCCCCTCGCGGCGGCCATGCCGGCCTTGAGGCCGTCCTCGTGGAAGCCGTAGCCCTGGTAGGCGCCGCAGAACCAGAGGCCCCGGCATCCCTGGACGCGGCGGAGCTCCCCCGCCGCCGCCGCCGCCGCCACCGACGGCACCGGGTGGCTGGTTTTCCAGGCGAGCAGGACGTGGTCCGGGACGCGGGGTGGGTTCAGCGTCACCAGGAACGGACGCCTCCCTCTCCCCGCCGACTGCTCGATGTTCTGGTTTCATATTTCAATGGAATTTGGGGTGGGTTTACTTCACGTCAAAATTGAAAGTTTGATTGAAATTGGAATAATGTGACGGAAAAGTTAAAAGTTTATGTATGTAGGAAAGTTTCGATGCGATGAAAAAATTGAAAGTTTGAAGAAAAAGTTAGGAAAACGTTGAAATTACGGTTGAATTTTGTCGACATTTGACGTGGGTTTTACCTGGAGAAGGTTGAGCCAGTAGGTGACGCAGACGCCGGTGGTGGTGGTCCCCAGGAAGTTCCAGGAGCTCCACGCCGACGGATTCCGTGGCATCAAGCTCTTGTCGCAGTGGAGGTAGATGTCACTGTGCAACAAGCATTTTGCATGTAAAAATTTGATTCCCCTTTCACTTGTTGTTTTCAAAAGATATCGATATGATCTTACTTAGATATATGCCTAGATCCATCATGGTGTTTAGTACTTTAATTAGTGGGTTGAGATTTTATCTGATTTAGTCGGTACGAATTTTTACCTTCCTTTTTAATAGATGTCACCATTAAATTTTTATTTATGTTTGATCATTTATCTTATCTAAAATATTTACGTAATTATAACTTATTTTGTTGTAAGGTGTTTTATCATTTAAAATATTTTAGGCATGATTTATATCTTACAAATTTGCATTGAGTTTTATAAAAGCATGAGAATGTTTTTAGGATTTGAAATATTTTGACGTGAAATTAGAGAGACGTGGCAACTAATACGTAGCCTGCCGACCACGGGTCAAAGACAAAATTCGTGTTAGACTTCACTGTTCTTGACAACAAATTAACAGAATGTACTTCAGTAGTACTAGAATGCAATGCTGTGTTGCGATCAATCAGCTGATAATTTTACCTGTAGACGTACTGAAAGGCGCCGAGGATTCTGCGCTCGTCGTGGGTGGCCTCGTCTCCCAGGATGTTGAGAGCGTCAGGCGCGTGCACGGCGAATATGATGCTGTCATACGCCTCCTCTGTACCCCCTGCCTCAACGACCCTATACCCTCCTGCATATATGTATAATAACAGGTACTAATAAACAATAATAGTGATACTTACCTATGATTAATTTATGATTTGCATTTGTGCATATATATATGCATCCAGCTAGTTATAGGCTTATGTACACGTACCTCCCTCAAGAGCTGAAACAGACTGGACTTCACAGCCGGTCTTAATCTGACAGCCCAGGCTCTCAAGCTCCTCCCTTACCTACATCATCCAACAATTAAGCATCATCATATCAGTCCCATAATATAAAAAACCTAGAAGTGGATGGAATATTTTCTAGTCCAAATTCGTAGTATTAAAAAATGTTCCATTCGATTATAGGTTCTTGTATTTTAGAACGTAGTGAGTAATTAATAAGTAGCTACATATATATATATATAGTTACAGTTAATGGTGAGTTCATGCATACCCTGTTTACGTAGGTATGGGAGCGGCCCTTCACCGTGAGCCACTGTGGACGACCGAACAGCTGCACGTGCAGATCCACACGTTTTTGTCGTAAGTACACAGAAATTAACGGAACCAATCATTTTAGAGCCATGACAATTACTGTACTTTGCAGAAGGAGAATTAAATTAAGCAAGCACGAATAGTTATGCATAGGAGTATATATACTCCCTCTGTCCCAAAAAAAGACAAACTCTGGTTTCTGTGTCCAACGTTTGACCGTCCGTCTTATTTAAAAAAATTATAAAAAAAATAAAAAGACAAGTCACGCATAAAATATTAATCATGTTTTATCATCTAACAACAATAAAAATACGAATTATAAAAATATTTCATATAAGACGGACAGTCAAAACTCAGGGTTTGACTTTTTTTTTTGGAACGGAGGAAGTATGTTGCAAGACAGCAGCAGGATATAACACTGTTGGCTGCGCTGCACTGCAGCTACCTGCAAGAGATGGTGATTGCGGCAGAAGGAGAGGACGAAGAAAGCAGAGAAGCCTAGAACCCCCTGTGATGGGCACGACCATATGCACGCACAGATCGGGACCTACATATAAGCAGAAATTGTTTTCAAATCTAACTAAAATAGTTGTAAAACAAATAACAAATATGTAAATAAAGTCCAAATTCAACGTCGTATAAGTTGTAAAAAAATAACCATGAACGTTAACAAGTTTCAGTTTAATATTTTTTTTCAAATTATACATGTTGAAATTGATTTTGTATGTTTGTGATTGTGAGGTTATATATCATATTAATATTTTTTTAAAAAAAAAACCAATGATATGCGAGAAATGAGAGGATGTTTCGTGGAGAGATGAAAATCCATCTCCCTGCTGGATCAACCAATCAACAAACTGAAGATATATACGTGCATGAAAATAAAAAAAAAAGGACCATCATCAAAGCCGCGATATGAATGCGTGATGGGATCATACAAGGTAGGCCTGCTGGAAGAGGCGAGAGTAACCGTGCGACTGGACGAAGTGCCCCAGCGTCTCGTTCCTGTCCAGATCAGGGTTCTTGTCGTGCTCCTCCAGGTACCTGTGCAGTACAGTACATACATATACATTCATGTACGCGGTACATATAGTACATTCTGAACATGATCGACGACCTGAAGAAACAATAATATGCGCAATACGTACGTGAGGACGTCGTCCTTGAACTTGAGGATCTCGCGGATCATGCGCCAGAACGCGGGGCTCACGGCGTTGGTCTTCTGGGCGAGGAGGCCCGCGAGGCCGTTGCGGCTGCCCCACTCCATCGTCTGCTCGTCGCCATCCTGCAGCTGGGCGCTCACCGAGAAGGACATGTCCGAAAGCTCCATCTCCACGCCCAGCTCCTCGAACCACTCCATCATGTTCGGGTACGTCACCTGCATCATATCCCGTACCGGGGTGGGACCCATCAATCGTTTAATTTCCCTTCATCTATATATAGTGTACTGTGTTGCTTCCAATTTTGAGTTTATATTTCAATTCACAATTTTTAGATCCGTGCCACGTGTGGGTTACCTGTGGAGGAATGCTAGTAGGGGCCCACAATTCATTGCTACTGAAAAACAAAAAAAACAATTTTGTAGGTATCATGGATAATTTTATTTTTAAAAAAGCCGGCCTTAAAAGATCCGTTTGTAATAATTGGGATTCATGCCCAACAGATAAAACACGTTGGATTATTTATTCCTTGACTATATGCTTGGTTTGTTCAATTAACCGCATAGTCGAGGGCTACACCTATTAGGTGCATCTAGTCGATGCACCTGACTTTATTTTTCAGCCCTCCACAGTCTTCAGATTTGGTAAAAGTACTCGGGAGATCATGACAAAGATGATTGAAGTACTCGGCCTTGGAGTAATCTGGTTCGAGAGAAGATTTTCTTTTCGACTGTGAAGGTCTCAGGGGCTATTGTGGAGATTATGGGTACCCCATACCCACACGGCATGGTTATCCGACTAGTTATAGGGGATAACTTATATGTATGGAATATGTAACAGATCATGACTTGGGTATTACGTTTCCTTATATATTACGGAACAACCTAAAGTCCTATTGTAAAGTAGATTTAGGAAACCAATACCGTATTGGTTAAGGTTTCTATCTTGTAATCCTGCCCCCCACCCTATATAAGGTGGGCAGGAGGCCCTCTAGGGGCATGAGACAATATGATCGTCAGATCTATACTACACCCGGTGGATTCAAATCCCCAAACAGGAGTAGGGTATTACCTCTCATTGAGAGGGCCTGAACCTGTCTAAATCCTTTGTCTCCGCATCCATCCACTTTTAGGTCTCGTGCGCTACCCCCTTTTATTATTGCCGAATTCATGTTTCGACAGTTGGCGCGCCAGGTAGGGGTTGCGTCGAGTTTCCTATCAACGAGCGCGATGGAATCAATTTCATGAGTCGCCGACTTCGTTTTCGCTTTGGGAGTTTTCACTTCCTTTCCGTCGACCACTTCTTCAAGCTCCTCTTCTCTGACTTGATCCAAATCAGTCAGGGGGAAACTCAATCTGATTTTTATCATTATTTATCATATTGATTTTTAATCTCAGATTAATCTCTTGCTATTTTTTGTTGTTGTTCGCATATAATTACGCGGCACTATTGAGGCGATTGATGCTGGTCATGGACTCGAGGCGTCTCAGCTTTCCGGTCGATCGGCCGCGAGTCCACTTTGCCGGCTTGTCTTCGCCAGCGCCATTGCTGATAACAACAACGACTTCACCGCCGGCCTGCCTCCGTCGCCGCCGAGTGGTGCCTCCGCCTACACGGCTGGCCTATTATGCCGCCGCTGTTGGGCGTCTACGACTTCACCGCCGGCCTGCCTCCGTCGCCGCCGAGTGGTGCCTCCGCCTACACGGCTGGCCTATTATGCCGCCGCTGTTAGGCGTCTACGACTTCACCGCCGGCCCGCCTCTGTCGCCAACGAGTGGTGCCTCGCCTACACGGCTGGCCTATTATGCCGCCGCTGTTAGGCGTCTACGACTTCACCGCCGGCCTGCCTCCGTCGCCGCCGAGTGGTACCTCCGCCTACACGGTTGGCCTATTATGCCGCTGCTGTTGGGCGTCTACGACTTCACCGCCGGCCTGCCTCCGTCGCCGCCGATTGGTGCTTCCGCCTACACGGCTGGCCTATTATGCCGCCGCTGTTGGGCGTCTACGACTTCACCGCTGGCCCGCCTCCGTCGCCGCCGAGTGGTGCCTCCGCCTACACGGCTGGCCTATTATGCCGCCGCTGTTGGGCGTCTACGACTTCACCGCCGGCTCGCCTCTGTCGCCAACGAGTGGTGCCTCTTCTACACGGCTGGCCTATTATGCCGCCGCTGTTAGGCGTCTACGACTTCACCGCCGGCTTGCCCCCGTCGCCGCCAAGTGGTGCCTCCGCCTACACGGCTGGCCTATTATGCCGCCGCTGTTGGGCGTCTACGACTTCACCGACCGGCCGCCTCGTCTGCCGTTGTTGGATGTCTACATCTTCACCGTTGGCTCACCTTCGTTGCCGTCGACTGGTGTTTCCGCTTACACGGCTGGCCTATTATGCCGCCGTTAGTGGGCATCTTCGCTTTCACCGTCGACCGCCTTCGTCGCCGCCGACTGGTGTCTTCATTGTTATTGATGGACGACTTTGTTCCCACATTGGCCACTTCTGCCATCACCAAGGGGAATATTACAAAGCTAAGTCATCATTTATTTTATTCTTTATATGATATTTTTCCTTTTCCTCTGCCTCACTACACCAATTGGTCTTCCATTGAGTAGTGAGTCGGGGGCTACAGATGTTATATCATATTTTTCATAATATTTATCTTGATTGCTTGCGACATAATCTGAGTACAAAAGTACCTATCGAGTTATGGAGTTCTATCTTCCTATGCTTTCCGTTCGGTTTGCCAATGGATGGTTGCCTTTGGGCCGATTCCTAGCATCCGGGGGCTCGTTGGATGGACCGAATAACGCAAGGTGCTAAGTATTATTCGGAATAAATCAAAAGCATAGAGATAAGATAATTTATTTTCTGCTCTTAATAATTGCAAAAGTACCCGAGTAGTAAACTCCGATCCGTGAAACTTTGTTCCATTAATGACGAACTCATGACACTCATATGCATGTTTGGGAAGTGCTTAGGCCGACTCCCAGTGCTTGGTGGCTATGATTAGTCGGGCAGAGTGTTTAAACGTAATGAGTCATCTGCTCGGGGAAATCATAATTGATAAGAGGAGAAATACATATTTATAAATATTTTTAAATACTTGATTTTTTCTCGAGTATTATATTTATATCAGATATTACTCATCCTATATGTTTGTTCTGCAGGATCCAGATCCAGATATGCACAAAAGGGATTCATGGCTTTAAGCTTATCTCTTACGCTCCAGGAATGGATCAGTCAGAACATCACCACCGGCTTGCCGTCATCGCCGCCGACTGGTGTCTTCGCCTATACGGTTGTTTGGTCACACCACCGTTGTTGGGCGTCTACGTCTTCACCGACCGGCCGCCTCGTCCGCCGTCGACTGGTGTTTCCGCCTGCACGGCTGGCCTATTATGACCGCCGTTGTTGGGCGTCTACGTCTTCACCGACCGGCCGCCTCGTCCGCCGCTGACTGGTGTTTCCGCCTGCACGGCTGGCTTATTATGCCGCCGTTGTTGGGCGTCTATGTCTTCACCGACCGGCCGCCTCGTCCGCCGCCGACTGGTGTTTCCGCCTGCACGGTTGGCCTATTATGCCGCCGTTGTTGGGCGTCTACGTCTTCACCGACCGGCCGCCTCGTCCGCCGCCGACTGGTGTTGACTGGTGTCACCGCCTGCACGGCTAGCCTGTTATGACGCCAACTGATGCTATCTTCTTCACGGCTGGCCACGTCGCCGTCACCGCTAATAGGCGTTATCATCTTCAACGCAAGCTGTCTACATCTGCTGCCGACTAGTTTATTCACTTCCATGGCTGCATGATTCCGCCAGTGTTGATTGGCTTTATCTTCTTCATCGCCGGTCGTCTCGTCTACTGCTGACTAGTGCCCTCGCCTCTACGTCTTGTTTATACAGCTACCACTACTGATGGAAATCATCGTCTTCCGTCGCCGACTGGTTATGCCGCCGCCGACTGGTGCTTTTATCTTCACAACTGCGCGTCTTCACTACCGGTTTGCTTCTGTTGCCGCCGACTCGTGTTCACTTCATCACGGCAACGCAACTTTGTCATCATGGTGGAGCGACTTCATCTTTATTATCTTCGGTACCAGCAAACTCTATTGCTGCTACTTCACAAGTTTTGCTACTTCACCAACCATGACGTCTTTGTGAATCTCGACATCTCGGCATGCGATGCTGTGTTATTTTACTACAACAAGTGGCTCTCCAACATTCATGATTTCTACTTGGACATCTTCAACACATATCTTCAATCAAGCAATAACTATTCAACGACAAGAAGCTACAGTTCTCGACTCTATGTTCAGTTGTTTCCCAACTAATCAAAGAGTCGGGGGCTACACAAATACAAGGCTCAAAATTTGACAAATTTTATGTCAAGCTGAAGAAATCAATTAATCAGCCAACGAGTCAACTCCAGGAGTCATTATCTTCATCTTTGCTTCGGAGCAGACATTCTACTTCAACAACTTCAAATATTTCGGTTTAGACGAGTTGGACAACAGTTGCGTTTGTCGTCGCCGACTATTTTCTTCATCTTCATGATTGGTGGATTGTACCCATAATGTTTCTTCATCTTCATGATTGGTGGATTTCGTCATCGCCTTTGATTTGCCTCGTCTGTCACCGACTGATTATTTCGCTGCCATGGCTACACAACTTTATCGCTGGGCGCTTTCATCTTCATTAATGGCTGACCTGACTACTGCCGACTGGTTTCTTCGCTTCCACGGCTGTGCAACTTCATCACTTTTGATTGGTATCATTATCTTCACTACCACCAATATTTTTGCCACCTCTGGTGGGCAATATTATCTCTATATTGGTCGTCTTGTCTCTATGCCAACTGCGTCAGCTACCATCAATGGACAATTGTGACTACGACAGAAGGACAAGCTATATGCTCAGGGGCTTACTAGTTCAAACACAAGTATCATACCTTCAATTTGGACTTGTTCCGGTTACATGCAACATGAATTCATGATCATGGGTCTATTTTCTATGCTCAAAGACTGGACTATTTATTATTCTCCGTAAGGGTTATCAACCGAATACTTGCGCCAGTCGGGATTCAATTTTTATATCTATTTTGGAGTATCCCATAAGGGATAATCACTCAGATCAGAAGCTATTCATATGAGCTACGCTTGGTCTATATTACCCGGAAGATTTATTACTCGGGAGCATGTTACATGCGTCATCCTTTAAAGGGTGTCGAGGG